GGGGGGGGGGGGGGGGGGGTGCTTAAAGGAAGACCTTGGACTAATTGACCTTTGTTTAATGGTTTGCCATTTCTATCTAACAAATATTTTCTTCGTCACCTAGGTGAGGAGGAAGAGTAGGAGGGAACTCTGAAAGACCTAGCCGTAGCCGACACAGCAAGAAAAAATGGGAAAGAAACGGTCTGATACCAAGCAAGCAGCTATCGTCTTTGGAGCCTTAGCGCTGGGTTGGCTCGCCATTGAGATGGCTTTCAAGCCCATCCTCGATAGGGTCCGCTCCGCCATGGACAACTCTGATCCGGCTCGGGATACCGACGACCTTGCCGATAACCAATCTGATCAGAGGCCATCTGATGACGATCAAAGTACCACCGCTTAAAGTGGCAATTCGAAGGTCCGACAGAGTGGGATGATGAAATAGTTTGTTGCCCGTCATGTTGTACTTGTAAAAGGTGAAATTTTAGATATTTTCACTCCGTATCATATAATAAGGTCAGTACTAGACCTTTTTTTAATTGAGTTGAAGTGATTCAGTTTTTAGTTTTATAATTAGTGCCTCTAAAACTTCGTCTCCCGGCGGTTGCTGAATCTGCTTGTTTTGCTAATCAACGAGGGGGTGTGCGGGTTTCTTATTCGAGGAATGGTTTAAAACAAATAAAGCGTTAATAGGAAAGCACCAACCATAGTCCTGAAATCATCCTTTAAAATTGACAAAGAAAAACCAAATAAGATTAAAGAGACGAGGAAGTGAAACAAGTGCAATTCAAAGAGATAGTCGACATCAACAGACTCAGGCTCAAGTGAGGGGGCTAATTGCAAATCAGGAAAGAGACTCGTCTAATCATCAAATGGGTTTTGCTCGTACCTAATTGAACAGTCATTGAGCACCGCACGAGCACCAATCCTCATTTGACACGACCCCAACATGTTGGTCTTAGCAGCGCCAAGACAAGTGGTGCAGTCTGAGGTTGTAAGGCTTTGGTTGCAGGAAGCATGGCCGTAAGCGAAGGAATTAGGATAAGGAGATATGTTGTAGAAATCATAATTGTTTGTAGTGGGAGTCGAACTCTCCAATTCTTTTAGAACGTAATCCAGACTCACGGCAAAAGGATCGCCCCCCGTGAAAATTCCTGAGTTGCACAAAACTGACTTGACTCCCGTGTTTGGAACGCTCACCACCATAGCGAAGAAGCCAAACAAAGTCAGAAAAGCGGCTGAAATCTTGAGGCTACAACCAACCATCTCTTCTTCTTCGGCTTCTGACTTGATTTTTTTTCTTCTTTAGGTATAACCAGACATTTGACGTTGAAGCAAAACAGGATCCCTATCTATTTTCTTGGTTTCGTCCAATCCCATGAGTTCTTGTTTAGAAAAACATAAATTGTTTGATGCGTTTGTTTTTTCTCTGGTTTCGACTCATTCCTTTCCCATTTGTCACTTCCTTAAAGTAAACAATGCAGACTGCAAAGCCGATGGCAATCCCATAATCTTATCTGCTCTCATACCAGACACCACTATCAAATAAAACCTCAATATTGTTTTGTTGTGTTGTGTTGTATTGAATGAAAAAGCACCATCTTTCCCTGCAAAATGTGAAATGAAAATGGAATTTATTATAAAAGCTGAGAGGGGCAAGGAGGCGTAAATGAATAAGACAAGAGAGATAAATTTTTTTTTTTATTATTATTATTATTATTATTATTATTATTTTGTTTGGTAGAAGCTAACAGTCGGTCAAAACTGAGGTGCTCACATTCACTCAAAACTCCAAACTAACCAACAAACTTTCAATCCTCATTTCGAAACCAAAACCATCTCTTCTTCCTTCTTCCTTCTTCCACTCCCATCACTTCACAATGAAAAGAAGCGATCATAATAATAACTGTCGATGTTGATCAAAATGGAAGGGTTGTTGCAGTTGGCGGTGCAATCCGTGGAGTGGACTTACTCTCTCTACTGGCGCTTCTCCACTCAACACCGGTACTTCAGACTATGCATACATATTACAAGCTGCTTTTAGTTTCTTTGACTTCTTCACAGATCTATCTTTCCACTCCATAATATTATACTATATTGAATCATCGGATTATGGTTTGTGAATGAATGATCAGGGTGTTGGTTTGGGGAGATGGGTTCTACAACGGACCCATCAAGACCACCAAGACGTTGCACCCCGCAGCTGCCACCGACTTCACCGGCCACCAGCAGCAGCAGCAGCAGCAACAACTACAACTACAACTACAAGCAGCCTCTCTGTCTCTTCAAAGAACCCATCAGCTCAGGGATCTTTACAACTCCTTATCCGCCGCCGACAGTAGCACTCACACCCACCCCCTCCGCCGCCCCTCTGCCGCCCTCTCTCCCGAGGACTTGACGGAGTCCGAGTGGTTCTATTTGTTGTGTTTCTCTTTCTCTTTTCCTCCGGGACTCGGGTAAGCTTTCTGGTTACTAATGCTCTAATTTCAAATCAATTTATTCTTTCTTTAAAAAGGAAAAAGAATTACTTATACAGATTGCCTGGGAAGGCATTTGCGAAGAACAAACATGTGTGGATTACAGGTGCTAATGAGATTGATAGCAAAATTTTCTCCAGAGCTATTCTTGCAAAGGTATTACTAACCATTTTCCCTTTTAAACTCGTGCACTCACCATGCAATTTGAATGTGTTTATGTAACAACAATAATGTAATTGTTCAAACACAACTTTTGAATAGTTTTTATGCTAAAACATCATAGTTAATTTAGAAGATTATAACACCACGTAATCAAATTTTATACATCAACTATTTTATGTATTCATGTGAATGATGTTGTAAATAAGTGATATGTGTTTTTTAATTTTATATATCAATTGTCACGTTAATTTCCAACCAATATCCTAACCTTAAAACTTGAAAAGTATTTTAAAGTTTTAAGGTTGTAATAAAACTTGAGAAGTATTTTGACATTATCTCATCAGCTCTACTACTTTTATAGATGATTGTGTCATAACATTCGACTGCTTTTTAACTAATATTTTTGTTGTTGGTTTGGGGGCGACGTGGGATCCCTCGTGATTTGATCATCAGAGTGCTGGCATAAAGGTAATATGATCCCATCAATTTATTCATGAAATAAATTGGGTAATACGATCCCATCATTCGACTACTATGTATATATTACATGAACAAAGTGTGCGAATCTCATGCAGACAGTGGTTTGCATTCCTGTAATGGATGGTGTGGTTGAACTAGGCACCACAGATAAGGTAAGCACCAATTTCTTGGGGGTGTTAAGCAGCTTCATCAAAATGAGTTTAAATGAAAGACAGTGATACAGTAACATTTCAGGTTAATGAAGACATTGCATTGGTCCAACACATGAAATCAGTATTCGCAGCAACCCAGTGGGCAGCACCAAAACCAGCACTCTCACAGCTCTCAACATCAAACTCTGCCACTTCATTGGAGCATTATACCAACCGGAAAGAATTAGAAGATGAGATGGATTCGGACAGCTCAACCAGCAACACCAATAGCAATAGCAATAGCAATGCTGCAGGGGGCGGCGAACCAAGCGAGTTAATAATGCAACTTGAGCTATCTGAAGACATCCGACTTGGCTCACGCTCGCCTGATGATACTTCCAACAATTTTCTCCCTTTGCCCCACTCACCACCGCCACACTTCCACATTCACCCACCACCTCTAGGTATCCAACTTCTCCTCCTCTGTATGATTGTGAACATCAAACCTACATTACTTCTTTATATGTACTCGTACTTAACTGTTTGTTCCGCTCGTATATATACATAGGGAACTCTCCAGCAGCAGTGGCAGTGCTTACAGAGGAGGACACCCACTACTCCAACACGCTCTCAGCCCTCCTCCTAAACCAGTCGAGCCGGTGGCCGGACTCATCCTCCATCACCACCGTCACTTGCTCCACCATATCAGCCTTCTCCAAGTGGACGCGCTGCTCAGATCTTCGTCGTGTTTCCACGGGAACCACTAGCACATCTCAACGCTTGCTCAAAAACATTTTACATACTGTACCCTTCCTTCACACCAAACATCATTGTGACCACAATCCATCTAAATCTAAATCTTGCGATGGCCGATGGCTGAACGACAAGTTCATCATCCTAAGATCCATTGTACCGTTCGCCACGACAATGGACAAAGCCTCCATTTTGGGGGATACAGTGGAGTACCTGAAGCATCTTCGTCAGAAAATACAGGATCTAGAAGCGCAAAACAGAGAATTCGAGAGTAGTCGGAAGGTCAGTTTTGAAGAACTACAGAGGACGGATGTACAAAGCAAAAGAAAGGTAAGGATTTTGGAGGGCGTAGTGGATGGATGTACAAAGCAAAAGGTGGTGGAGTCCCCGAAAACCAATTTGCAGGTTTCAATCATCGGAAGTGAGGGATTGTTGGAGGTGCATTGCCCATATAAGGAAGGACTATTGCTTGATATTCTGCTTATTCTCCAAGGCCTACGGATTGAGACCACAGCAGTAAGGTCATCCTCGAGCAATGGAGTCTTCATAGCTGAGCTACGGGCCAAGGTATACATAGTCTAAACAATCAACTCCTTGATGCAACATATCACCGCATCACTAGTTTCAAGCAATAGAGTCTTTATAGCCGTGATCGTCATGTGCTATTTTCAATCATTATAATCCATATCTTCCTCCCCACCCAAGGATACAACTGTATCAGATACATATTCTGAGCATTATTTTCCTAAGGTTGTGATATGTTGTTCTATGATCAGGTGAAGGAGGGTATGGATGGGAAGAAAGCAAGCATTTTGGAGGTGAAGAGGGCAATACAACAAATCATACCCTGCATTGATACTTGAGCATAAGAAGAAAGCTTCTTTGGATTTAGGTGGCATTTGAGGAATGAGGACTGAGAATACACAAAAATGAAATGATATGCGGTATTTAGATTATGATCTACAAGGAGAAATGCCCAGCTTTAAGTGATTGTTCTTCTTCCTGTTGCGAACGATTTTGCATGTAATTAATTAGGCTGCATATAGATCGAAATGAAATGATTGATTGATTGTTGATGTTAGGTTGAAGTAAATGGATGGGCATTGAGAAGATGATGTATATTTAATCGCTATATATACAGCTAGCTGCCCAATTTGGGTTTGCATGCATTTGTCCTGCATGTGAACCTACGAAACCTTCCACTAAATATATTGATGATGATGTCAGTCAGTCCCATGTTACTGCTGTTTTTCTAATTTCCCCCTTTCTTCTTCCCCTTCCTCTTGTTTTTCTTTTTCCCTAAGTTATTGAAAAGAATATGATCTTTTCAAACTATATTTGGAGTAGAAAAACAAATGTTATAGTCACCACCAGAAGTCTCTACAGGATTCCATTCTGAACAGCTCTCGACACCAGTCGCCCATCTTCTCTGTAGGATTCCATTCTGACGCCGCTGATTGATGTTAATGGAGGTGGATAACTTTCTTGTGCATCCATGTCCAACATCCGACACCGGGGCGAGAATCATCCGCTTCCAATGTCATTAAAGAGATGCCAGTCTCACCCATGTCGCTCCCACTCTCGCTGCCTAAGCTTTCTGTGCACATTTCCAAGCTTTTCTTGCTCAGCTTTGTGGATGGACGTACACCTCCTCTTCTTCATTTCCATTGGCGAGAGCCTCATGGAAACTCCACTCTTCACCAATCTCACCATGTTTTGAATTTTCTCTTACTTCACATTTGCTGTGCACATCCAGGGAGAGTCTGGTGGAATAATTACTTACTTCACCAATTTCTCCCAACAAATTTGTTCCATATAAAATGATGCTCTCGTTCAACCGACTTCAAAACCTCAACAGAACCTTTTCTTGCGTTGGGGTTTGTTTTACTATGACCATCTGTAGTAGTTATGATCCCAAATTCCATTTAGATAAGGCTTATCACCAAATACCAGTCTGTACAAAAGTAGTAGATAAATCTGCAGTGAAACCTCCATTTCAAATTTGGCCAACTCTCCAGCCTTGCTTAAATCCTGACGTCTTATGGATCAATATGTAGATATGGAAATAAACTGTGAAGGATGAGATATTAAAGGAAATATTCAGCTCTCTTTGTGCTGTTGACATTGCTCAACAAGGAATCCAGAAAAGATGGATCAAGCAGATGAACATTATACTTTGAAAATGACATCGTTCCATTTAACATACGTGACTGAGAAGACCTTGAAAGATGGTAAAATTCCACGTGTCTGTGTAGTCACGATACATGAAGATTTTGAATTTCATTTTGCAGTTTTTGTAATTTCTTCCCTACACTGGACAGATCGTCTTGAATCTCCAATAGTTTGTCTAACCTATTTTGTGCTTGATCTCGATATGGCTTGCTTATGACACTCACAAAAGTTTCCAAATTTCGAACAGCTTCTTTGAGATCCTCTTGCATGGCAGCTTCAAGTTCTCGAGCAAATCCATCTGCTGTTCTTTTTACCTTACTTCCCAACTGTTGCCTACGACTTGGAAAGTTTGAAATAGCCAAAAATCTATCAAACAGAAAAAAAAAAAAAAAAAAAAAAAAAAAAA